AGCTGATGTACAGATATCATACCTAACGGCTCACTTATTTAGATCTCTTACTGTCGCACTTTTGCATCTAAACTACTGCGCTTGCCCGTTTGGTGGAGAACAGTGTAATATCATACGAAAAGCCTTCTGAAACATCGGCCAATATTGCAAGAAACAAATAACGCCAATATTGCACTTAACTGGATTGAATAAAAAAATTAAACTATAACATAAGTCTACACAAGTTCACAATAAACAAATCTGAACTATATGAAACCAGTTCTTCGCCGAATTCTATATACGGCTTTACGTAATGGAGGTGCTGTTGTAAATCCGTGTTCCACATAAAGTGAGAGAAAGTCGCAACGGCGCTTCATAATATGGTCAGCAGCATTGAGGCTTCCATTCGATGAAAATTATAGATCGGAATAAATATGGTTCAGATTAAACGTTTGACTATAAACCAACTTTACAACTGAAAATGCGAATGACGCTTGATGTACCAATTAAGACAATTATTAGACTAAGTCAAAGAATAAACTGAACAAACACGGAAGGAACGATCGAATGGACGAATGTCCTTTATCCTTACGTCATCGCCAAAACATACACATTGATAGTGCTTCTTTGGGTAATTAAGTTAGGATGAAGGTCATCATTCCAACTAATCCTTCCGCCCAGGTGTGTTCAGATTATTCGTTCTATCAGAAAAAATTACCTCTTGATAATAAATAAATAAATAGGAATATGGAACTTTGTTAGCTGCAAAGCAAACCATAAGAACATAAAATCGAATGATGGATTTTATTCAGCCGTTCGACTGACATCGAAATTCGAAAACCAATGAGATCCAGCGACTTTTTAATACGCTAGGGACAGCATAGATAAACTCGGACATATGTATTGAATTGACCAATGTGCTTCATCGTTACCTAATCGCCAAAGAAAGCATGACGGACGAATACATCATGCCGTACGTCAATCTTACGTATAAATTGCATTATATTACTGGTGTAATGAATCATTTACTTTAAACTTCGCCGGGGCAGACTGCTTGAAGGTGGTCGAGAGACAGATTGGTGGGATGACTTCGTGGTTAGCCCACTGTTCGGGTTCCTGGCCGGCGTGGATGGCGTTAGTCGCAAAATGGCCATAGGTAGTCATGGTTCCCGTGCAGAACAGCCTGAAAATCACAAGAACGTCGTCAACGATTGCCGATAAGAACGGGGGGTCATCGGCGAAAGCCGACATGACGAAACCGGTCAACATCAACAGGTCAAACAATCAGCAACAATTTGGTAGAAAGATTTTGCAATTTGTTCGGCCGACAAATGGACGATTTGGATCGAATTTCCATCGTCTCGGTCTCATGAAGCTGAGCAATGCAAACGAATAAACTTTAGATCAAATATTGAACCCTTCATCGCACTGGACTCTTCCAAATCTAGGCTCAACGTTCACCGCCCTAACGAAATTCATGACACCTGTTCACCTGGTTACTCAACACTAGCTTCATAATAGAGCATGCATGGGCTGATATTCGAGAAATGACAGTTGTCTCCCGGTCGGGCACCCGAAAGAGGCGGCCAGACTGCACCTGATACAA